CTGCGCTCTACCAGTCCGAGGAACCGCTCGGCGCCGCCATCGCCGACGCCCTCCGCGCCGGCACCATCCGCTCCCGCGACGAGCTCTTCATCACCTCCAAGCTGTGGTGCAGCGACGCCCACCCTCATCTTGTCCACTCCGCCCTCCAAAAGACTCTTCGGTAGACCTCCAAACTCATCTCAACCTTCAAGTTCGACGTAACGCCTTGCCTTCTACCCCCATCTTCCCCGTGTTTCAGCAACCTGCAGCTGGAGTACCTCGACCTCTACCTCGTACACTGGCCGGTAAGTACAAGGCCGGGAAAGTACGAGATACCGCTGGCGAAAGAGGACCTCTTGCCCATCGACATGAGCGCAGTGTGGAGGGCCATGGAGGAGTGCCACGCTCTCGGGCTAACCAAGTCCATAGGCGTTAGCAACTTCTCCTCCAAGAAGCTGGAAACGCTACTCTCCATTGCCAAGATCCCTCCTGCTGTCAATCAGGTACTGATCATATAACCCAACTAGATGTTTGATTCGATCTTGGAGATGGTTGGATCACGCGTACTGTTGTGTGAGAATAAGGTGGAGGTGAACCCTCTGTGGCAACAGCAGAAGCTGAGGGAGTTTTGTGTGGCTAAGGGGATTCAGGTGTGTGCCTACTCGCCCTTGGGGGCCAAAGAAACGTACTGGGGGCAAAACTGTGTCATGGACTGTGGTGTCCTCAAAGACATAGCTGCGGCCAAGGGGAAGACTCTTGCTCAGGTAATGACTGTGCGGTAAACATACACATACACATACACAAACAAGATGGGTTTTGAATCAAACGCATTGTGAACGAGGGGACAGGTCTGCTTGAGGTGGGTGTACGAGCAAGGAGACTGTGTTCTGGTGAAGAGTTTCAACGAGGAGAGGATGGTGGAAAACCTGGACATACTGGATTGGGAGCTGAGCGAAGAAGAGAAGCATAAGATTGGTCAGATTCCACAGCGCAAAGGGTACGCTGGCTGGGATTTCGTGTCTGATGATGGCCCCTACAAATCCACGGCAGAGCTGTGGGATGGTGAGATATAAATAAGTAATGGGCGGGGAAGACAAACCTATCTCATGTCGTGTTCTTTGGATGTAAAACAAAGATTCTCATATATATGTTAGAATCGAGAATCATAAAAAAACAAAAAAAACCTGCTTCATCGTGGTTCTGGTTTTTCTTTCTGTTTCTCATTCATGTTAGAGTATACTGTCATCATACGAAACAAAAAATCTAATCAGGATTAAAATTTAATTAACATAAATAAAAAAAACAAAGAATCTATTGGACATTATTATGGAATTAAAATCTCAAGAGATTTGTACGTGAATAACTATATCATTCTTTTTTTTTCTTTTCACATGGGACTATTATAATATTAATATCGAGGATCGGTTATGAGAATTGGAATCCTAACGAGAGCAAATAAAGCTAGGTAGAGTTAACTTGAAAGAGTCTCTCCCATCAAAATAACCTCTCATGATTATGATTCTTGATCAATAATTTAATAAAACATTTAATATATTTCATCAGGTAAAACAACGGCTTAATCTAATGTCTAACAGCTAAAACAACGACATTAAAATTTGTGAAAACTGATACAGAACATAGAATTTAGATGGAAGGCTACATCGAACTAAAGGATTCTGAAAACAATTCACTAGTACTTCTGCCTACAAGTACAAGTAAGCCTGTATGATAGCGAACAGACTCGTCCCATAACATGATTTAATTTGCACCGATCATCCACTTCCGACAGCGAAGAAGGGGACAAATCCAATATGTCACTGCTACTGGTTGACAACCACCCACAAGGGTCCTATGAGCTGATGTAAGTCTCACTTGGCCAACATCATCCGTGCAGACTTCTCTTGGCCAACAACAGATAGTTCACCTGTCCGTCACCATCGACGTCGGCTTCTCTTGTCATCTCATCGTCCTCCTCATCAGCCAGTTTCTCACCAAGGTTTGCCATCACGTGATGGAGCTGCAGGCCAAAATGGAATATGATTGTATACAAACAGTAGTTTCGTATACAATCCAATTTTCCCTTTTCTCCTCATGACTCCCTATCTCCGTTAGACGTGAAAGGACTCCACAAACAACTTTTTGCTCAAGTGATGATACAATTCGTTCAACTTTATCGTCAGTTGCAAGGTTTTAAATGTGGGAATTAATGTGTCCCCATGAAATTTGGTTTATGTGATATTAATGCTATGATCTGAATCCTATTAATCATAAAGAAAATAAACCTGAATTGAATTATTATATTTATCAATAATAAAGAATGTTACTCGTGGACGTAACTTTGAATTGATGGAGATCAAACACATAAGTGATTCGCTTTAGATCAGTGAGAGATTGTTAGTCATAAGTGGTATGTAAGAATGATGGCACGTGTGACCTGCCACATAGTCTTTTTACTTATTATTATTATTTAACATTTTATCACTTGAATATATTGTGATGTCTATGGATCTGTGCAATAGGAATCGGATTGTGATGAGATCACGATAATGAGATCGATTCTCCTTTAAACACAAATTCTAAATAATCTCGGTCATATGTTACTCAAGAGGGACATCGAGATAACCGAACAGACTAGTGTGCTGTATACCCATCCATATGATGAATGCAGTTGGTATCATAGCTACTCGTATGAGGATACTAGGAATACAATACAAGTACTCATTGGGGAATGAGTTTACTGATTGATCGCATACGGAATGTTGGATGATTGATGATGCCTTAAACTTGAGATACTAAGGATGTCCTGTATGAGTACTTCATTCTTTGATACCAGACTTATAGGTCTGGAGGTTTCAGATATAGTACAATCGATCATCGGGAGTAGTAGCCAACCTTACGAGGACTATTGCATGTCAATAGAGGATCATCCACTCTTGGTGTCATGAGAGGAATATCCCATATGTTCTTTCTTAGACAAATCCCTGGCTAGGGTCATTCGGATTGAGAGAGAAAGATTTCTCTAGGAGAATTCGGAGACTCGATTATAAACCGTGTGGATCGGACAACACCATGCCTATTATACAGTTTCTAGGATATTATATAGATGAGGGACTATAGGTATACGACAATTAAGGACAGACAAGTCTAATGGATTGGATTCACCTGTATCATCTAGGGACTACGACGTAATAGCCTAGTATGTTCGTAGTTGATGAGTCGAGTGAATTATTATAGAGATCGATTCTCTTTTAAACACAGATTCTAAATAATCCCGGTCATATGTTACTCAAGAGAGACATCGAGATAATCGAACAGACTAGTGTGCTGTATACCCGTCCATATGATGAATGTAGTTGGTCTCATAGCTACTCGTATAGGGATACTAGGAATACAATACAAGTACTCATTGGGGAATGAGTTCACTGATTAATCCGCATATAAAATGTTGGATGATTGATGATGCCTTAAACTTGAGATACTAAGGATGTCCTGTATGAGTACACCATTTTTTGATACCGGACTTATAGGTCTGGAGGTTTCAGATCTAGTATAATCGATCATCGGGAGTAGTAGCCAACCTTACGAGGACTATTGCGTGTCAATAGAGGATCATCCACTCTTGGTGTTATGAGAGGAATATCCCATGTGTTCTTGCTCAAACAAATCCCTGGCTAGGGTCATTCGGATTGATAGAGAAAGATTTCTTTAGGAGAATTCGGAGACTCGATTAGAAACCGTGTGGATCTAACAACACCATGCCTATTATACAGTTTCTAGGATATTATATAGATGAGGGACTATAGGTATACGACAATTAAGGACTGACAAGTCCAATGGATTGGATTCACCTGTATCATCTAGGGACTACGGCGTAATAGCCTAGTATGTCCGTAGTTGATGAGTCGCGTGAATTATTATAGAGATAATAATTTACTGAGCCAAAAAGAGTTCTAACAGATATAACTCACGACCAGCTCGATATTTGGCCTAGAGGGTCACATACATATGATAGGCATTGCGATGAGTAGAGGTTCAGATATGAGATATCTGTCGCAGCTCCTATCTTATTGGATATCCAATAAGCCCCTGAATTATTGGATCCTTTGGATGGGATCCAATAAAAGCCAATGAGAGATTATTGGATAGAGACTCATTAATCTAAGAGGCTTAGGTAGTTGGATAGAGATCTAATACCCAATAGAGCAGGATCCATTAGGGTTAATTTGATAGGGGACCTCTATAAATAGGATGGAACCAGTGGTTCATAGGCTAGAGCCCTTTTTGTTTGCCTCTTATATTCTCCTCCCCATCTCCTCATCAGAGCAAACTTGGAGTTTTTTAGGAGCATCGTCGCAGCCTTGTTATGTGGATCATCGCTAGAGAGGAGGACGCTTGACCTCCTTCACCCTCTCCTAAAGATCTACAGGGATTCAGGGATATATGATTTACCTAGGTAACACAATCTTTCATATACGCAGTTTTAAGTTTCACGGATTTTGCGCACCAATCTTCGCACGATGACGAAAACATATTTGGGAAATTGGGGATTTTATTTTTAATGTTCTTCCGCTACGCATGTGATGTCGCCCCAAAGATTTTCCAATAGTAGTATCAGAGCCAGGTTGTTCATGCGAAAATTGGTTTTGAACTGCGTGTATTATGTTTTGGAGAAGCTTTTGACATCAAAATCATTGATAGTAAAGCGAGAAAGGGCAGCAATTATTGCTACCCTTGTTGCCCTCACAAATGGTAGCACTGTCATCTATATGCAGGCTCTCGACTGGTGGCCGACGAGCTGCTATAGTGGCAGCCACTTGCACGTGGGCACGACTGCCTACAGCGGCGCCCGCAAGCAGGGGCCACAAGCACGGTGGCCACCTGCGCAAGGGCATTTCTCCCGGGCGTAAGGACGGTGCTTGCGGGTGCTGGACCCATGGGAGTAGGCGGCGCTTGCCACCATTGGGCCCACACGCGAGCCCCCATGGGCGGCGCTGCGCCCATAGGCTGAGGTACCATAGGGCAGCGACGCCATCTACAGGCACAATGCCCGTGGGCGAGCCGCCCGCAAGCAAGGGCCACGCCCCCCCACCGCACAGCTACTGTCGGCAAGGTGGCGGTGGTCACAGTAAGCAGGGAGAAGAGAAGGGTTAGGGTTTTCTAGCTAAAAGATAGCTTTGCCCCTCAGATTTTTAGAAATTCTAAGTTTTGTCCTTTGTCCAAATTATGAAAATACCCCTCATAAATAAGAAAATTCCCTACCTATCCCTGATTTTAAAAAATATTAATTAATTAAAAGGTTTAATTGATTATTATTTTTATTATTATCTAGTAGTCCTACATGATGATGATTTACACATGTGATATATGATGTGCGGACAGATAATCATAGACCATGTGATGTGTGCACTTGTGATTATTATTATTGGGGCCTGCGAGCCTCCATTTTATTTCTCGTTTATTATCGAGTTTGCGTGCCTATGATTAAGTTATAGTCATGTGAGGAGGTGCAGTGGGAGCGTGGATACGATAGCGAGACCCACCAGACGGACGATCGCGATGCATGGAGATGCGTCGAGATGCCGACGGAACCGACAAGGACGAGATGTGTGTACTTGTGATTATTATTATTGGGGCCTACGACCCTCTATTTTATTTCTTGTTTATTATTGAGTTTGCGTGCCTATGATTAAGTTGTAATCATGCGAGAAGGTGCAGCGGGAGCGTGGGTGGATACGATAGCGGGACCCATGAGACGGATGATCGTGATGCATGGAGATGCGTCGAGATGCCGACGGAATTAACGAGGATGAGATGGATGATCACAAGACATGGAGATGCACCGCTACACACATAGATCTTGATGTGAGTGATTAGGCCCACTGGCTCGGGCCTGATCACATTAGGCTGTGGTCCATGATCATCTAGTGTAATTGCTCATGTGATGTGTGATTGTTTATATACCTACTAGATATGTATATATATATTTACATGTGATATAGATATATATTAAATATGTATGTGTGTGACATGTCATATTATGAGACTAAATTAAAGAAACCCCTCTCTTGACATGTCATATTGGCCCACGTGGCCTTCCATCGTTATAGGTAGGGACCAATTCTCGGTCTATGTTGAGTTGGTCGAGTCCCTCGAGGCTCATCTATATCGCGATTCGCTATCTTGCCTACGACATAGAGATGTCACTA